TGAATCCTATAACATATATTATTACATGGGAAATATATACCCTTTCTTAATACAGAGAGTGCGGACCGGATACTCTATAGCCTATATTAATAAATGGGCGTCCGCTACTCATCATGTCCCTCCATACCGCCAAGCCCCCTTGTTTATCCCTCTCCACCGCACACACCCATCCTCCAAACAAAACAAAAAAAACTTAAAATTATACAAATGTGATTGAAGTTGCAAATCAATTTTAAAAAGGTTATTTTGTTTTCAGTGAAAAAAAAAACAATTTGAAAATTATCGGTCATATTACAATTTGCCTAAAAAGTGTAATATTATCATTCATTTTTCAACGATTTTAATCGACTTTTTTAAAAATCTGTGAGACAAACTAGGAAACAAAAAAATTTTAGACTGATACCCATGAAACTCCGCTGCAGTGAGGACCCTAGTGTCGGTGATTCAATATCATTTTGTATTTTATAAATTAAAAGCAAGCAAACTCCACAAGTCTGGCTCTGTTTTTCTTAAAAAAGAGATCAAAAGTAATTCCAACCAAAAATCTGTTTTTTGAATCTTTAAAATGGCGAAAAATATCCTGCTTAGCACAAAAACATTTTGGGTCTTAAATACAAACATATCAAACATATCTTAAACAAAACATATCAATTGTCGTTATTTTGAAATCACACTAATGTGGTTGAAACTCATTGGCTAATTTTAACATTTCAAGCAGATGAAATTTTTGACTAAAAATCTGTATGAAAAAAAATGAACAAACCTTTCAGTTCACATTTTCTAGCTCAAAGGCAAAGCAGAGCTTCGGACCCTTTCAAATACTGCATAAAAATAGCTGTGTAAGCTGACAGACAAAAAAAGAGACCAGTTAAGTCCAAAAATTAATCTGAGATTTTGAAAAAAATTACGCCAAAAAAACATCACAACGATATCTGAACTGATAATAATTTTGCAGAATACTCGTCCAAAATCAAAATCATTGACTTTTGAAAATTAAAAAAAATCAACTCAAAAGCGAAACTGAACTTTAAACACTTGCGACACAAATACTCAAAACCGCAAAATCGAAAAAAATCATAAATTCGGCTTAAAACTCTCGTCATCTGTTTTTTCGACTGAACTCCCAATCTCAGATTTGGCAGAGTAGTTTTTGAAAAAAGTCTAAAAAAATCCAAAAAAGGGTACAAAAAACATTTTTTCTGAAGGCTATACCTTTTCTAAATAAAAAAGGGCATACCAGCTTATCCAGCAAAATGTTCTGAAATCTGTTAATCCAATTCAACCATCAATATTGATACGGGAAGGGTTAACCTTTCGAGAACAATCAAAAATTTCCAAAAAAGATCAAAGTTTCAAAAGCTTGACTTTTCTTTAGGCGACTACTTTTTTCTGTACTGCAGATTAATAGATTCAGCAGGGAAGTTTTTGATAAAAGTAACAAAGTTTCCAAAAAAAAGATCGAGAACCCAAAAAATTTGAGATTTCCGAGAAATAAGCAGTTTTTCTACTGAAAATGGAGCGTATTCGCTTACGCCGGGAGGATTTTTGCGTTCTGATTTTTTTCGATTGAACCCTTAATTTAAAACATGAGAGGGTAAATTCTGAGCCAAATGGGGAAAATTTCAAAAAATACAAAACTATTAAAAATGGCATTTTTTGATGCCACAATTTTTTAAATTAGAGGACATAGCGACTGATGTAGAAGGGATCAGCACTACCTATTTTTGCCATCAAAATCCACATCTCAGATTTGGCTCGGTAGTCTCTGAGAGAGAAAAAAAACAAAAACTCTAAACACTGAATCAAACATTGACCATGTTTATATTTTCGCAGGCCTTTGAAGGTGGAGTAATCTTAAAAAAGACTATTATTTGTGCCCATTTCTTGCAAATTAGTGACGAAATTGTAAAGAAACAAAAAAACTTCAACCAAAAAGATTATTCGATAAAACAAGCCAAAACCATTCAGTCGAAAAAAAAATTTAAAATCAAAATAGAGAAAATCAGACTTGGAAAACCGTCAAATTTAATAGAAAACTCTAAAATCAAAAAATAATCAATTCATTATAGTAAAGCCGATAGACAACAGTACTAGAAATTCTGAATTCAATTTAAACCAACGGAAATTGAACCGACCGTAAATATTCCGTAAACCAAGAACCCCGAGAAATCTTTTTTTTTTCCGAGAAAAACATTTGAAAAAAATTAACCCCGCAATCGGTCTACACCTATTTACTACCCAATCAAAAATATTTATTCTTGATTTATCAAGAAATTGGGAATGTCTTGAAATTAACCCTTCCTACAAATTAAACCATTCTGGTACGAAGTTTTCCTCGGGAAGAGCATAGTACTTGATTACATATACACGCTTTTCCCATGGGTAGAAACAATTATTGAGCGGCAACTGGGCTGACAATTTTTGGGTTAAATCCCATAGAAACGAGAACAATGTTGTTGTTTTTGAACTATAAATTGTATTCTGAGACTTTTAGCGTTTCGTGCGATCCGGAGATGACCATAAACATTATTTTTCTTTGAAACTATCCCAACTTTAGGTTACCAAGCCCAATGAGTTTTTTAAGCAAATAAAAACAAAAAAAATTACCAAATCCATACTAGTACAAAATTTGTCAGCGCTTATCCTAAATTGCAAATAGCGGGAGATAGTCAAAACACTCAAAGCAACTGAAAATTGCGTACAACCAAAAAATCCAAGATATGGCAATTAAGCTGACAAAACATATGCAGAAAATCTCTTGGCCGAAAACTTTGACTAAACCGAGAAGTTTCACGTTTGAAAAAAGGTCTTCTTGAGATTCAATCACAGGACAACTGCCGTCACGAGCATATTTTTTACCTCCAGTCAAAGTGTACCGGAGATGACAGGAAAATTGATTTCGTTATAAACCAAGATAAAATCTGACTCAAATGGTTCTGTTACACAAGTTTTTGAACCAAAAAATTCTATTTTCCGATTTGATAACGCCTGCTAATTGCACGCGTAATCTTATCTTATATTTTAAAAGAAAGACGGAATGCGCTATGGTTGCAATGTTTGACTGAACGCATTGTTTTAATGATGTCGAGCGGAATGCTTAAGAAATTTCTATAGGCTCAACGCTTAAGAGTATCGAAGAATATTCCAGATTTTGAAGCTCTTTTTGAATAGCTCTTTTGAACAACTCGAACTTCTTGCAAAGCAGTCTAGCTACTTTTGCTTTTTTGAAGTGTCATCGCTTCAGTCAATCGCTGGAAAAATTTTAATTTTTTGCGAAGCATTCTAAGCTATAAACCGCTCTGAATTTGTTCGTTGCTTTATTAGCTTTCCTAGAAAAACTTTCAAAGGAGCCGGGTCGTTCTATGAATTAGAGAAAAAATTAAAAAATTTCACCGCTAAAATGGCTTCGAAGAAAAAGTTTCGCCATCCAAGTAAATTGGTTTCCGATTCGATTTATAAAATAACTTGAGTTAATTCCAAAGTCTCACATATTGTCTCACATATTAAAAAGCTTGCGAGGAAAAGTTTTTAGAAGACCGAGTTGGTCCAAAAATTAACTTGGAATATTTTGAAATTTCGTCAGAATGGCCTCATTAGAAATACCTAAACAATTCGCCATCCAATTTGCTTCGTTTGAAAGTTTCATAGCTAGATTTTGTTTCATAGAAAAGCTCGTTTGCTGCGGGTTGATTCGCTCTATGAAATAAGTTGAAATGTTTCTAATTTTTTTGCTCAATAGCTTTCAAAGAAAAACATGAAACTTTTGCGAACGAGTTCGCTCTATGAATTAACTTGAATATATTCAAAGTTTCGTCGCTTGAATAGCTTACTTAAAAAATTTTCGTCAACTGATCTGCTCTTTAAAACAACCTTCAAGTTTTCAACGTTTCCTCGCTCAATTAGGTCGCTTGAAAAAATATAAAGTTTTTGTGAGACGACTGGTCTAAAAATCGCCTTGAATTGTTTCAAAGCTTCGTCGCTTGAATGGCTTTTATAAAAAAACTTTAACTTCATGTCATCAAATTTGCTTCGCCTGAAAGTTTCATATCACTAATAGCTTGCTTAGAAAAATTTATTTCTTTGCGGGTTGATTCGCTCCATGAAATAAGTTGAAATGTTTCTAAGTGTTTCGCTCAATAGCTTGCATAGAAAAATGAATCTTTTGCGAATGAGTCTGTTCTATGAATGAACTTGAATATATTTAACATTTTTTCGCTTGAATAGCTTACTAAGAAAAATTTTTCGTCCTCTGATTCGCTCTATGGAACAACCTGAATAATTTGCTAACGGAACAACTTGACTCTTATCAAATTTTGATAGCTTGATTAACTTGCTTAGAAAATATTAAAAATGCGAGCCGATTTAATCTGAAATAACTTGAAATTTTTCAAAACTTGTAAGTTTTGTTACTTGTGAAAGCTTTGATTTTTGTAGACCGATTTGCTCTCAAAAACCACTTTAAATATTTAAAAGCTTCACCTTTCAAATGACTTCAATATATAAACTTAATTTTTTCACCGCCTAAATCGTTTCATGATATAACTAAAATCATTTCAAAATTCTTTTCTTGATAGCTTGCTTAAAAAATAAAATTGAGATTGGTTCTTAAAAAGTAAAATTTTATCAAACCAATTTACAGTATGACCTAAATTGAAATTGTTCAAGTTTTTTTCTGCTTGATTAGCTTGATCAAAAGAACAACTAAGTTTTGACTATTGAATAATGGAGATGGGCTTGCTAGTAATCATTTTAAATCATGTTTTGTGTCAATGAGATTTCAAAAAAAATTATGAAGGTTGATTATGATTCAAAATATGGTAGTCATTGAGAAACTTTTGCAAATAAAAACAGTTTGCTTTGATATGTTTATTTTACACGCGCAATACGTTTCTTCGTGTTTTTTTTTGTTTTATTCAAAAGAACTGACACAAATATCAGCGGCATGTACAATTTTCTATCTGTTATTTGACTATATAAGTAATTGGTTATTTTTCCATTAGTTTGAAATGGAGGAAACTGCCAATTTGAAAAAACAGTTTCACGAAGAACTTGATACATTGAAAATTCGGTGGCCAGGTGGCGACGAAATTTCTTTCGGAGACGACCAAAACCTGCGAGAAATGTTGAGGTGCCAATACCCTGATTGGAAAACGAAAGGTAAAGTTACTTCAGTCCCAACAGCACGAGTTCCAGCAATGTTTTTGAGCCCGGAAATGGTAAGTGAAAAACTGAAAAACCATTATGAGCGAATACAGAAAGGAGATGAAGGCGAGTTGAAAGTCTACAAAAAAATACTTGATGGTTTCGGACCTGACCATGATGGCATAATAATTCTTCCAAACTTAGACAATAATCAGTTGTTCAAATCGAAAATTGGTTGTGTAGAAATTGACATGATAATTCTACACCCTACCAAAGGCGTTTTCGTTGTCAGTGTGAAAAACAAAGATTTGGGTGGACAGGATGAAATAAAAGAAAAAGAAAAACTGCAGACCGATCTGATCAAACATACTGACTTTGTTTGGCATCTGTCAAGTTACCGGGATATTGATCAGCCGTGTAGTTCAAGCAGTGCAATGCCTTTCATTCCAATCCATGCTGTTTTCTTCCATCTTCGGGCAGATTCCGTGAATATCCAAGATCTTGAAACAAACCAGGCATGGTACTCGTACAAAAAACTTGGAAACGTTATTGTGTTCCAGCAGCCACAGTTTGACATCTTCCAGAAGAATTGGTGTCAAAAGATGTCAAAAATTCCAGATGTTCAGCTAGGAGAACCCTTTGAAACTCTCGTTTCGCGCTTAGTCGCAATTAGTTCGATGGAAGGAGCAGTTGCTCTGATACATAACAAAATAGTTTCCAATGATTTGCAATCGATGCAAATTAAGAAGAAAGATGCAGACGAGTGGACTGAGAAGCAGCTAGATGACGTCAGAGATAAGCTACCTAAAACTACGAAGGAGCATCTGAAAAAGTGCATGCAATCCAGCTACGTTCCCACGAAAAGAGGAAAAACAAAAGTAATTCTTTGGACCAAAGAACAGTTAGAAATAATAGTAGAAGTATTTGATGCCTTAGCAAACAAAAAAAAGAAACCGATGCGTCTGCTAGTAGAAGGCCCAAAAGGTTCAGGGAAAACGATGTTGTTGGTTTACTTGGCAAAACTAGCAAAAACTGTTTTGGGTGATAAAGGTACCGTTATTGTCTGTGATGGATCTTTTGGGAAGCCTCGCATATTGCTCTCGCAGATTAGACAAAAACTGGGGTCGTTAAAAATCGAAGTTGTGGCAGGAACAGAACTTAAAAAAATTAGTCAAATCAAAAAGGGGCTGATACTTTTCGACGAAGAGATGATGTTGTCCGCCATTAAGTCTGACGATTTGCTTAACAGTTTAACAGACGAAGTTGTCGTATGCAGTTTTACGTCCGCTATATACTCCTATCATTTTAAACAATATTATAGCGACTTCCGATTCTTAACTCAAATTCTCCGATCGACGTCAAAACTGTCTCAATTTACCAACAATCTTCTTTCTGCATTCGTCGGCATACCTGATTTGAAAGGTAAAATTGCACACAATCTTGCAGGCGATGGGCCAGATATTGTGACAGTGCCTGCTGGTCAAATGAAAGCTATATGTATAGACACTGTTTCCAAGTACTTGCATCTATCCAATCATTTGGATTCGATCCTTATCGTGACACACTGTTTGACCCTGACTTCTGAAATAGCAATTTTTGAAGAGTTGACCCATAAATACTTGAAAATTTACACTGATTGGGAAGCCTATCAACTAAGCTCAACAGGAGAATCAACACAAATCTGGTTTTTGGAAAATTGTTACAATGGTTTGGAATTTGGCACGGTCATTATACCCTTTGAAGAAGAAAACCGAACACCAATAGTAGACCCGCACTGACAAAATGAGATTGATATCGATTTATATCTTTACAGAAAATACACTGTGCGAAGTCAATTTGCGATAGCTCATTTAAATGCATTGATGGATTTAGAATGGATTTGAACGGTCGGAAAAAAAATCCAATTCATTGACAAAAAACTCGGTTAGAATTATTTTTCTTATTTGTTTTTTTTTTTTCGAAAATTTAGCAAAATCCTGTACTCAAGGAACATCTTCATCCGATATACAGAACACAAAAGCCAAGCGAGGATTTTTTTCCCAGAAACTACTGCATTTAAGGGAATTTGCAACTTTAAGGGTTCTCGGGACAATTGAAGGTAAAATTATGCCTTAGTGTTCTTCAAATATACTTTTCGATTTCAGCATTTTATGAGCATACGGCATATAATTACAGAAAAATGCTGAACAATTACGTATCAGTTATGCGCATATTTTGTTTTCAGGCCAATCATCAACACAAAAAGTCAGTTAAACAGCATAAGTTAAAGTCTTATTTCCCATGTTCTCTATTGTTTGATAGCCGGAAAAGTGATAATAAGAAAATTAAATTAAAAAAATTGGATTTAAATTGATTTAGAATCAGTTGAAATTGATATTTAAGCTAAAATTTTGGGTCAAACTAAATAGACATCTTATGTGCTACAATATCTGTATAAAATTGATTGCAGCCCTTTTTTGTCAGTTCGGTGAAAACCTCATATCTGCCATGACTCGAGCTACAACGCGATTAGTTATATTAGTCGACACGCCGTCAGACCATTTTTCACCAAAAGTACCGACACATCGACAGATCCTCGATTATCGAAGAAAAAAGTGAGTTTATGTGAACAATTTTTGACAAAAAAAAGCGCAGCTCTTTTCTTAGTTTGAATCCATTCACGTGGGGTCTAAATTTGTGTAATCAATCATGAAAAATATTACTATCTTGAAAAATAAAACTAAACAATAATATACTAAAGAAATCGAGGGAGATGTCTCTCGACTTTCCTATCATATAATATTTCACAGCGATTTTTTTTTCATTAATGATTAGAATAGTACGACCCCACTAAGACTCATGTATTGACTCTGGTCGGCTTATGCATCAACCCTGGTGGACTCATGTAACGACTCTTGTCGAATCGTGTATCGACTCTGGCCGACTGGTGTATGGACTCTGGTCGACCATGATTGACATTTGCCGACTCATGTATCCACCCTGGTGGACTTATGTATCGCAATTTTTCGACCTTCAGTTTTGTTGACCTATACAACTTGATTCGATAATCAGAAATCGTTCGAGCCATACGGTCGATGCATAATTCGATCACCTCAAACCGGCTTTTAGTATTTGTACCATCAGGTAGAAATTTTCGAGAGATGGGAGGCCGAAGCTCTCATTGAGATAACTTCGACACCCTTGCCAAGCTTAAGTTCGCCTATGGTTTTGTTTTGCGTCAATGAAATAGCTTGACCCTGAATTTTTCGAATAATGCCTTTGGTGCATACGTAAAAAACCTGAATGCTTCCCATAGTAAGTCAGAAAAAAATATAAGGAATAAAGGCCCAATCATATTTCGGAACGGAGAAGGAGCCGACTTTCCTCTGATTCTCTATTAAGTCAATCGGTTAAACGTAATTGTGTATCATGTCCTTTTCTAAAGTTCCCACTTAGTATCTCGAGTAAGTATCTTAAGAGAAATTAAATATCTCGCTCGTCGCATAAAATAACACTGTCCAGTAATTGAAATTGAATTCAAAAAAGACTCATTCACAATCTAGATCGAGCGACAAAAAACAACACTTTCGAAGTAAGAAATTTCTTTGAACGTGACCAGTTATTTGGCCCTGACACTAAAGATTGAATAATTTGAATTGCACTATAAAAAACTACCGTAGTCAAGACTAGCCAGATGGAGTGAACAATAGCAAAAATGTAACATGTTGCCCTATCCGGCTAGTGAGGTTAAGTCAACAATCCAATAATAACACCAAAAAAAGTTGGAAAAAATTTTTTTTTCTGACTCCGAAGCAACAAAAAAGCAAGTCTGAAAATCTGACTGGTAAAAATTTGATTTTTTTCTGAAACTTATCTTCTGAAACCATCAAGAAAACTATCACATCTTAAAACATAGGATTTTTTGAACGTTCCCTTTAAAGTCTTAAACATAGCAGCATCGGTAAAATTGGGCGCCGATAATTTTTGTTAATTGGACGCCGAAAAAAGCCTAGCATCTAAAACTTACCATACTATTATCTGAAACTCTGAAAATTTTAGCCTATCTTAATACCTGGGAAATCTATACCCTATCTTAATACATGGGGTGCTGACCGGGTACTCTTTAGCCTATCCTACAACATGGGGGTCAGCACCTATACTTGCTGAATGAATCCACCACACACTATAATTGTTATTGAAAAACTTGAAAATTTGCCAGTAAATTTAGTTTTAATTTTGTGTAACTTGTTTGAAACTGATCATCCGAGAAATAAATGATGGTTGATGTTTCATTTTTTCGATCACTTGTTTTACGTTATGGCAATTTCTTTGTGATTGATAGTTTTTGATTTAGTTTTATGCTCCAATTATGGTCCGAGGAGCTTCTTCTTTTATCATGTGGTTAACATCATTATTATGTGGTTAACATATCTGCGTTTTTTTGGTTGTCTTTTTCTGTTGATTTTTTGATTTGTGGCATAAAATTAGTATTCTATGCACGGTGATCTGAGCAGTTTGTGTCATTTGGCTAATTTTTTTATGCAGTTTACTGTATGTAGTGCCGGAGTAACAAAACTTTCAAGTTTGTTAGAAATTTGGCTGCAGGCCGTGACCTTTTAGTTGCTAAATTAGTTTGTTGTATGGGGTTTCATGATAAAAAAGAGATGTTTTTTTTGTGAGATTGCATCGTTGGAGGTTCAACTGCGTAATAGTTTGTTTGATTCCTATTGGCTGAGATTTGATCAGCATGAAATGAAAGGTTTTGCAGGTTGGCTGATAAAAATGGAATTTTTGAATATTAACTACACAGTTGAGAACATGTTTTGCTATGGGTCTTGATTGAACTATGAAAAGTCTCTTTTTGATGCTTGGAACCATTGCCAGTCAAATACAGATCTACAAACATATTTATCGATTTTGAAAATTCTACTCGTTACAGCCTGAAAAAAATATCCTCAGTATGAATATTTGTTCGTCATTTTACAAAAAAATGAGGCAGAAGCCACTAACACTGTGGAAAATATTGATTTAAGAAAAATTCTCGAATGATCTTTAATTTGAAGAAATATGCCAACAAATTCAATCACTGGCATTTAAAAAGCAATCAAAATATTTTTAACGAGCGACTACTATTCCGCTTAAGTTTGGGTAGACGACAGTTGAGCCGAAAACAAAAATTGTCGTAATAAATTTTGTTCTACATTATTGCTAATTTCAAAGTTTGCACGCCCCGTTTTTTGAAAGACGCAAAAGCATTTTACGAACAGAATAAAAAATATAATTTAAAACATCAGAGTTGGTAAACTTGCACACTACATAACGAATTTCATTTACATTTGAAATTGCCGAAAGGAAAAAAAACATTGACGCTTTGCAGAATTCCATATTTTGGCAGATATATCGATAGAATTCCAAAAGTCAAGTTTTTCAAAAAAAAACTACTTTCCAAGTCTTGAAACAAAAATAACGTCGGAACATATTGTTGATGGAGATTTTTAGTCGCGAAGTTTTGTATCCAAAAAATGGGAAACTGAACTTTTTAGGAGGAAGTATTAGTTTCCAAACCAAATTTTCGTTTTTTTAATGCCGAATGATACCCCTTCTTACAAATTTAAAATAAACACGAAACATAACATCTACAAACAAAAGCTCAAAAGCTGCTGCAAGCATGTAAGCGAAAGAATTTCAAAATTCCTTCGCGGACACAGAAAAGAAGCGGATTTTGAAACGAAGTTTGATTTTTTTCGCACTATTTAGGTTCTGATTGAGATAAATATGATCAAACAATCCATTGCCCTGCACTTTTAGTTTGGTTTATGTTGTCCTGTTGAGATGTTTTTGCTCTGATGCTTCAGGAGGAAGTAAAGCTATTCCAAATGCTGTCTTGTTTAAGGCGTAAGCATACTTTTCCCTAAATAGTTGATATCATAACAAAACAAGACTGCTCGTATCAGGGCGAATCCTTGAATGTTCCGACTACCTTTTGAGGTTTATGGAGCAGTAAGCAGTAATAAACTCAAAAAATTAAATGAAAAAAAAATGAAAAAATTTCTAAATTTTGAAATTTTTTA